CTTTCCTTTCTTTCTCCTTTCTTTTCTTTTGTCCTTTCCTTTCTTTTTCCTTTCTCTTCTTTCTCCTTTCTTTTCTTTCTCCTTTCTCTTCTTTCTCCGTTCTTTTCTTTCTCCTTTCTCTTTCTTTCTCCTTTCTTTTCTCTCTCCTTTCTCCTCTTTCTTTCTCCTTTCTTTTCTCTCTCCTTTCTCTTCTTTCTTTCTCCTTTCCTTTCTTTTTCCTTTCCTTTCTTTCTCCTTTCGTTTTTCTCTCCTTCCTCTTCCTTTTTCCTTTCCTTTCTTTCTCCTTTCTTTCTCCTTTCTTTTCTTTCTCCTTTTTTTTTCTTTCTCCTTTCCTTTTTTTCTCCTTTCTTTTCTTTCTCCTTTCCTTTCTCTGTCCTTTCTCTTCTCTCTTTCTCCTTTCTCTTCTTTCTTTCTCCTTTCTTTTCTTTATCTTTTCTCTTCTTTCTTTCTCCTTTCTTTTCTCTCTCCTTTGTTTTCTTTCTTTCTCCTTTCCTTTCTTTCTCCTTTCTTTTCTTTTGTCCTTTCCTTTCTTTTTCCTTTCTCTTTGACTTCCTTCAACGTCTTTCTCCTTTCCTCCCTTTATCTCCGTTCTTTTCTTTTTCTCCTTCTCTTTCTTCTCCTTTCTTTTCTCTCTCCGTTCTCTTCTTTCTTTCTCCTTTCTTTTCTCCTCTCCTTTCTCTTCATTCTTTCCCTTTCCTTTCTTTTTCCTTTCTTTCTTTCTCCTTTCGTTTTTCTCTCCATCCTCTTCCTTTTTCCTTCTTCCTTTCCTTTCCTCCGTTCATATCTTCTCCATTCTTTTTTCTTTCTTAATCATTTTTTTCTTTCTCCTTTCCATTTTTTCTCCTTTCTTTTCTTCTCCTTCCTTTCTCTCTCCTTTCTCTCTTTCTTTTCTCCTTTGCTCTTCTTCTCCTTTCTCTTCTTTCTTGCTCCTTTCTTTTCTTTCTCATTTCTCTTCTTTATCCTTTCTTTTCTTTCTCCTTTCTCTTCTTTCTTTCTCGTTTCTCTTCTTTCTCCTCTCTTTTCTTTCTCCTTTCTCTTCTTTCTTTCTCGTTTCCTTTCTTTCTCCTTTCTCTTCTTTCTTTCTGCTTTCCTTTCTTTCTCCTTTCTTTTCTCTCTCCTTTCTCTTCTTTCTTTCTCCTTTTCTTTCTTTCTCCTTTCTTTTCTTTCTCATTTCTCTTCCTTCTTTCTCCTTTCCTTTCTTTCTCCTTTCATTTCTTTCTCGTTTCTTTTCTCTCTCCGTTCTCTTCTTTCTTTCTCCTTTCCTTTCTTTCTCCTTTCTCTTCTTTCATTCTCCTTTCCTTTCTTTTTCCTTTCTCTTCTTTCTTTCTCCTTTCCTTTCTTTCTCCTTTCTCTTCTTTCTCCTTTCTGTTCGTTCTCCTTTCCCTTCTTTCTTTCTCCTTTCCTTTCTTTCTCCATCCTCTTCTTTATCCTTTCTTTTCTTTCTCCTTTCTTTTCTTTCTCCTTTCTCTTCTTTCTTTCTCCTTTTCTTTCTTTCTCCTTTCTTTTATCCCTCATTTCTCTTCTTTCTTTCTCCTTTCTTTTATCTCCCCTTTCTCTTCTTTCTTTTTCCTTCCTTTTCTCTTTCCTTTCTCTTCTTTCTTTCTCCTTTCCTTTCTTTTTCATTTCTCTTCTTTATCCTTTCCTTTCTTTCTCATTTCTCTTCTTTCTCCTTTCTTTTCTTTCTCCTTTCTCTTCTTTCTTTCTCCTTTCCTTTCTTTCTCCTTTCTCTTTCCTTTCTCTTCTTTCTTTCTCCTTTCCTTTTTTTATCCTTTCGTTTTTCTCTCCTTCCTCTTTCTTTCTCTTTTCCTTTCTTTCTCCTTTCTTTTCTTTCTCCTTTCTCTTCTTTCTTTCTCCTTTCCTTTCTTTCTCCTTTCTTTTCTCTCTTCTTTCTTTTCTTTCTTTCTCCCCTCTCTTCTTTCTCCTTTCTTTTCTCTCTCCTTTCTTTTCTTTCTTTCTCCTTTCCTTTCTTTCTCCTTTCCTTTCTTTCTCATTTCTTTTCTCTCTCCTTTCTCTTCTTTTTTCTCCTTTCTCATCTTTCTTTCTCATCTTTCTTTCTCCTTTCCTTTCTTTCTCCTTTCCTTTCTTTCTCTCTTCCTTTCTTTCTTTGTCCCCTCTCTTCTTTCTCCTTTCTTTTCTTTCTTTCTCTCCTCTCTTCTTTGTCCTTTCCTTTCTCTCTCCTTTCTCTTCTTTCTTTCTCCTTTCCCTTCTTTCTCCTTTCTCTTCTTTCTCCTTTCTCTTCTTTCTTTCTCCTTTCTTTTCTTTCTCCTTTCTCTTCTTTCTTTCTCCTTTCCTTTCTTTCTCCTTTCTCTTCTTTCTCCTTTCTTTTCTTTCTCCTTTCTCTTCTTTCTTTCTCCTTTCCTTTCTTTCTCATTTCTCTTCTTTATCCTTTCTCTTCTTTCTTTCTCCTTTCTTTTCTCTCTCCTTTGTTTTCTTTCTTTCTCCCGCCCATAAAGTACATAAAGTCTTTTTCTTTTGTCCTTTCCTTTCTTTTTCCTTCTCTTCCTTTCTCCTTTCTTTTCTTTCTTTCCTTTCTCTTCTTTCTCCTTTCTTTTCTTTCTCCTTTCTCTTCTTTCTCCGTTCTTTTCTTTCTCCTTTCTCTTTCTTTCTCCTTTCTTTTCTCTCTCCGTTCTCTTCTTTCTTTCTCCTTTCTTTTCTCTCTCCTTTCTCTTCTTTCTTTCTCCTTTCCTTTCTTTTTCCTTTCCTTTCTTTCTCCTTTCGTTTTTCTCTCCTTCCTCTTCCTTTTTCCTTTCCTTTCTTTCTCCTTTCTTTCTCCTTTCTTTTTCTTTCTCCTTTTTTTTTCTTTCTCCTTTCCTTTTTTTCTCCTTTCTTTTCTTTCTCCTTTTCTTTCTCTCTCCTTTCTCTTCTTTCTTTCTCCTTTCTCTTCTTTCTCCTTTCTCTTCTTTCTTGCTCCTTTCTTTTCTTTCTCATTTCTCTTCTTTATCCTTTCTTTTCTTTCTCCTTTCTCTTCTTTCTTTCTCGTTTCTCTTCTTTCTCCTCTCTTTTCTTTCTCCTTTCTTTTCTTTCTCCTTTCTTTTCTTTCTCCTTTCTCTTCTTTCTTTCTCCTTTTCTTTCTTTCTCCTTTCTTTTATCCCTCATTTCTCTTCTTTCTTTCTCCTTTCTTTTATCTCCCCTTTCTCTTCTTTCTTTTTCCTTCCTTCTCTCTTTCCTTTCTCTTCTTTCTTTCTCCTTTCCTTTCTTTTTCATTTCTCTTCTTTATCCTTTCCTTTCTTTCTCATTTCTCTTCTTTCTCCTTTCTTTTCTTTCTCCTTTCTCTGCTTTCTTTCTCCTTTCCTTTCTTTTTCCTTTCTCTTTCCTTTCTCTTCTTTCTTTCTCCTTTCCTTTTTTTATCCTTTCGTTTTTCTCTCCTTCCTCTTTCTTTCTCTTTTCCTTTCTTTCTCCTTTCTTTTCTTTCTCCTTTCTCTTCTTTCTTTCTCCTTTCCTTTCTTTCTCCTTTCTTTTCTCTCTTCTTTCTTTTCCTTCTTTCTCCCCTCTCTTCTTTCTCCTTTCTTTTCTCTCTCCTTTCTTTTCTTTCTTTCTCCTTTCCTTTCTTTCTCCTTTCCTTTCTTTCTCATTTCTTTTCTCTCTCCTTTCTCTTCTTTTTTCTCCTTTCTCATCTTTCTTTCTCATCTTTCTTTCTCCTTTCCTTTCTTTCTCCTTTCCTTTCTTTCTCTCTTCCTTTCTTTCTTTGTCCCCTCTCTTCTTTCTCCTTTCTTTTCTTTCTTTCTCCCCTCTCTTCTTTGTCCTTTCCTTTCTCTCTCCTTTCTCTTCTTTCTTTCTCCTTTCCTTTCTTTCTCCTTTCCCTTCTTTCTCCTTTCTCTTCTTTCTCCTTTCTCTTCTTTCTTTCTCCTTTCCTTTCTTTCTCCTTTATTTTCTCTCTCCTTTCTCTTCTTTCTTTTTCCTTCCCTTTTTTCTCTCCTTTCTTTTCTCTCTCCTTTCTCTTCTTTCTTTCTCCTTTCCTTTCTTTCTTCTTTCTTTTCTTTCTCCTTTCTCTTCTTTCTTTCTCATTTCCTGTCTTTCTCCTTTCTTTTCTTTCTTTTTCCCCTCTCTTCTTTCTCCTTTCTTTTCTCTCTCCTTTCTCTTCTTTCTTTATCCTTTCCTTTCTTTCTCCTTTCTTTTCTTTCTCCTTTCTCTTCTTTCTCCTTTCTTTTCTTTCTCCTTTCTCTTCTTCTCCTTTCCTTTCTTTCTCCATTCTTTTCTTTCTTTCTTCCCTCTCTTCTTTCTCCTTTATTTTCTCTCTCCTTTCTCTTCTTTCTTTTTCCTTCCCTTTTTTCTCTCCTTTCTTTTCTCTCTCCTTTCTCTTCTTTCTTTCTCCTTTCCTTTCTTTCTTCTTTCTTTTCTTTCTCCTTTCTCTTCTTTCTTTCTCATTTCCTGTCTTTCTCCTTTCTTTTCTTTCTTTTTCCCCTCTCTTCTTTCTCCTTTCTTTTCTCTCTCCTTTCTCTTCTTTCTTTATCCTTTCCTTTCTTTCTCCTTTCTTTTCTTTCTCCTTTCTCTTCTTTCTCCTTTCTTTCCTCTCTCCTTTCTCTTCTTTCTTTCTCCTTTCCTTTCTTTCTCCTTTTTTTTCTCTCCTTTCTATTCTTTCTCCTTTCTTTTATCTCTTCTTTCTTTTCTCTTTCCTTTTTCTTCTTTCTCCTTTATTTTCTCTCTCCTCGTTTTTTTCTCTCCTTTTTTCTCTCTCTCTCTCCTTCAACCGGAAAGGCAGAAGGGAAACACACACTTTGACAGATCCTGATTTTACTTGGGATGATGTTAGGCATTTTCTCCTTGATGCTTGTTGGTGTTTGAGCGGTCAACTTGTTCAAGAGGGTCATTTCACTTGCACAAGCGTAGCGTTTTGTCGTACTCGACCGATTTGAGTCATGGTAGCTTAAGAATGAAAGCCATGGTTTCCAAGTCCTTGAGGCAAGTGCCGGGCTCATAGCGCCGAAATGAGATCGTTTGCTTCCTGTGTGCCTTTCGCTTCCTTTCGTGCCACTTTGCTTCCTTTCGCCGTGAGAGCTTAGGTGGTGTGCAACCCGGGGCCCGAAGTGCCGGACGGGCCCAAGGCCAGCATCATGGCCCTCACCACGCGGCTGCCCGGGGAGGCCTGGAGCCCGTCCCAGCGCCCCAGTATGGGAAGGAGGGGAAGGAGAAAGAATCGCCCGGGAATCGCCCGATTTGAAGGCGAAAGGCGATTCGAGATCTCGGAATCAAAGGGCTTAGTAGCAACACATTTGCCCTGAGTATACACACCTGCCAAGCCCCAAAACTAAAACCGCAGAGCTGAACTGGGAGCAAGAACAGCACTGCCGGCAGTAGCCTGTTCCAGCGAGGCTCCAGGGTGGCCATCCTGAATATGCCAGCACTTAGGAAGAGGGCGCAACGTGATGGAATTGGTCCATTGATCCAGCGGAAGAGGCTTCTCCAGTTCTAGACTTTCACCATGTTTCACCTACGCCCACGCCTCCGCTTCGTTTCAGTTGACTTCTTTCTTCTTTTCCATGGGTGTTCCTTCCATTTGTCTCAGTTTCTCAAAGCAACACACAAGCACAGCTCGTCCCTTGGTTTTGACATGACAGCCATGGTGGTGCACAAGCTTCGTGATTTGTGTTCACTCCTTCCTAAAAAAAGTAACCCAAAAAGCATAACTTTTGGGTCGGGGTATGCTCAGAAGGGCTGTTACCCATTTCGTAGAATCTTGACTACAACAGCCAGAGCATGCCCAGAGCTTTGCCTTTCTTTTTGCTTAGGTACTGGGCAATGTTTGCTTCCGGAACGGACACCTGCAGCCAGTGGCCCTACATGCGCTGGGAGACGGAGCCCTACTACGAGGAGGGCGCAGACTCCATCGCCACGGGCAAGAGCTACACCTGCCACGGCGGCTTTGTGAGCCACGACCAAATCACCCAATTCGACAACGTCTTCTTCGGCATCGATGAGACCGAGGCCAGGGCCATGATCCCAGGCCAGAAAATGTCCATGGAGGTGGGGTACGAGTGCCTCGTCGCCTCTGGCTTCAACAAAAAAAGTCTAAAAGGGCGCCGCATGGGGCTCTGGTTTGGCGATGTGGGTCCGGATTGGCATTCTTTTCAGATGGAGTGGGCAAGATTTTGTCCTGACATCTGCCCAACCACCATGGGATTGGCCATGAGCTGTGCAACCACGGCGGCCCGCATCGCTCATACCTTCGACATCAGGGGCCCAGTTTCTTCCTATGACACAGCTTGCTCGGCCTCTCTTGTGGCCATGAATGCGGCGCACTTGATGATGTTCGACTCAGAGATACCCAGGCCAGACAACGCAGAAGCACTAGTAGTGGGTGTCAACACACTCCTGGGTCCAGGGTCCTTCATCGGTAACTGCATGGCCACGATGCTTTCGCACCAGGGTCACCTGCCAGAATCGGCAAAATGCATTTGCTTTCGGTCGCCAGACAGTTGATTAAGCTAATCTTTGGGGTTGTCGCCTGCAAACATGCCCCCCTCAGACTTGGTTTTTGCTGGCAACATTAGAAGCATGTTGCTCATTCGTGCCTTTTCTCATGTTGCTTTTGTATTTGTTCCTCCTTCTGTCTGACTTGTAGTCGTACTACTTGTCTTCGATTTTTCTCGGGCCACCTGCCAAGGTCGCAGCTTTACATTTAACAGAAGTGCTGATGGCTATCAGCGCGGGGAAGGCTGCGGGGCAGTCTTTGTGAAGATGTACCAGGGGGACAAGCAGGATGAGGAAGACCGGGTCTGTGCCCTGATCGGCACCGCTACAAATCAAGATGGCCGCAGTGCCAGCCTGACCGCGCCCAACGGCCCTGCACAGCAGCAGGTCATCAAGAAGTCCATGCGCTTTGCAGGGATCAATCCCAACACGGTGTCCATCGCGGAATGCCACGGCACAGGGACAGCTCTTGGGGATCCGATCGAAGTCGGAGCTCTAATGGCTGTCATGCATGAGCGGAAGGTGCCCATCTTCAAAACCAGCGCCAAGAGCAACATTGCCCACTTGGAGGCTGGGGCAGGGATTGCTGGCCTTACCAAGTGCATCATGATGATCAATATGGGCACTGCTCCGCCCAACTGCCACTTCAACATCATCAACCCGCATCTCACCATCGAAGGCTACCCGGTGTACTTTGACACAGAGGACATCGACATCGGACTCAGCAGCCTGTACTGCGGGGTTTCATCCTTCGGCTTCGGCGGGACCAACTCCCGAGCTGACGTCTTCGGGTACGCCACCAAGGGCCATAAGGCGGCGGTGAAGGCCAACCTGCCACCCCCCTCAGTGCCTCGAGCGCTGCACATGGGCCAGACCCTCTACATCAGTGGGTCCTGGGATGACTTCACCAGCTACAAGCCCATGGAGGGTGGGAGGTATGGCACATACATCACCACCATCACTGTGGGTGAGGCGTGCTGCGAGGAATTCCAGCTTTCCTGCAGCAAGGACCAGAGTTTTTTTGTTTAAGATTGTTGTTTCAGGCTGATGGCAGTACTTGAGCAAAAATATTTCTGGGCCTGCGGCCTCTAGCCGGCTACGCCTCTTTGAAGTTATACCACGTCATGTCATGTTTTGTGCATGAGAAACGTATCCTGTGCTATGATATGGACCTTAACCCCAGATAATGCCGGGGATGCCGGCTTTCTGGGCCCCAGCCGGGCCCCAACCCAGAAGGCTGACATGGGGTCGCGCGCGCGCGCGCCAGAGGACCCAACAACAGCAGCCCAAAAAGAGCAGCCCGCAAGCCAGCCCGGAAACGCAAACGCAACAAACGCACCGT